TTTCTTTTTTCTTTTTTTGGAGAGGTTTTTGCTATAGGGCGCATGCGCTCACCAGAAAGACAGAAAGAGACAGAGGGACAGAAAGCGAGAAATCATTCCCCAGGGGGAATAGCCACGCCACAATCCTTTCTCCTCCATTCTCCTCTCAGGATCTTGGGTACGCACGCACACGCACCCGGCATGAATTTAAGCCACTGGGTCCGGGGCTCAAACCACTGTCAACTACATGGGAGTCCAGTGACATAGCCATTACGCCAACTGTTGGTCCCCGGGGTGAATTTTTTAAGCCACCGGATCTGAGACTCGAACCACAGTCAACTACATGGGAATCCAGCAACGTAACCATTATGCCATCTGCTGGTCCCATAAAAATACTTTATATCAACATCAAACTATATGCTGTCCTTTAAAAATGGCATTTCATTTATGAATCCACAGATCAATAAAAATGGAAAAGAATGACATCAGGTTGTGATGAAGATGCACAACCCTAAATAATAAGCAAAGTGCACACATAAAACAGGTAGAGTTCACGGTACACACAGTGCTCCTCAACAACAACTTAAAACGAGAAGAGTGGAAGATTTTCCACGAAAACACTAAAGGTACAGAAGATAGAGTTACAAAAATCACATAGACAACAAAAAATTCATAAATAAAACTGAATTATTCTAAATGCATGCACATCTAAATTTGGCATCTCGAAACACATTAAAATAAAAGAAGAGTCGGGATCTGAATTAGTCACATCCGAAATCGAAGCTGACGACATTAACACCTCACTTCTAATCATTAAGAATAGAAAATACCCAAAAAACACTTTTCCATTGATATTTATAAAATTTTCACCCTCGAAGTTCGTAAGTCAAAATCTGTTCTAGTGCCATGGAATGTTTACCAAGAGAATTTCTGACAACTTTATTAAATTAGAAAACCATATATGACAAGGAGAGATCCAGAAAGTCATTAAACATTTGGAAAGTAATAAGCACATGTCTAAACAAATGAGCTCAAGAAAAAATGTGAAGAAAATTAGAAGATATTTTATAGGCAATTAATATGAGAATACATCTTATCAAATACAATGTGATGACAAAATAGTATTTAAATAAATAGTCTTATCCATTTATGTTAGAGAAGAAAGATGTAAATAAAGATTCCTATGATTTAAATCATTGTTCCCCAGACGTTCCTATGTTGGAATGTGGTCCCCAGTGCAATGGCTTTGGGAGGTGATGAGACCTTTAAGAGGTGAGACCTAGCGGGTAGCGAAGGAATCATGGGCGTCACCTTCATGGAGGGGTCAGTACAGGCCCCTGAGACTGAGTTTTAGCTCTCCTGTGAAGAGGTGATTTCCGACGAGAGCAAGCGGCAGAATGGGGGAGACACATAAGTAGATTTGGTTACTCAGTTACTGCCGTTTTCTGGAATTCAAGTGGGAGCATGTTATTAGTAATTTTGTGAAGGGTTCTGGAATTTTCCTTCTGACAATCATAACTGGCTGTTGACAAGTTGATTTTCTATCGCTTTATGTTATTGGATATTTATGTATCATTTATATTAGAGAGCCAGGGTGTGTGAGAGAGGAACATGAGTCATTTCTTTTTAATTGTCGGAGGGGACATGTGCTTCTGAGAGAACCCTGCAATAGGGCATGGCCACATCACAATCCTTTTTCCTTCACTTCTCCATCCCATCAGAATTTGAAGCACACACACATATACACATCCATTGTATTTTTCTAGCTACTGGATCTGGGATTTAAACTGTGGTCAGCCATGTGGATCCAACCGTCTATCCCGAGGGCTCAACCTCTGCACTATGGACTGGTCCGTGAGTTTTGCTCAAGGGTCATAAGACAAATTCCAATAAAACAGACAAGATTCAGAATTCATTTTAGTTTAGTTTTTCTAACTAAGTGGAATTCTGTGATGCTAAATAAATGCAGAATCTTTCTACTATTAAAGAATTGTAAACTGATTCTTGCTCGGTGCTCAAAATACCAGCCTGGAGAGTGGCTTAGACTTGCAGGTTATAACACGAACATGACCTGTTAGTTAAGACTCACGGCACACATGAAGAAGAATTCGAGTCTCGAACAAAAACAACAAACATATACCAAAAGCCTCCAATGCACTTACACAATTCGAATATTCTGAGATTGAGGGATTGGGTCCGAGACGTGTCCAGTGTGGCCCCAGTAAGTGGCGAGAAGCGACAGCGGAAGCCGCCCCCGTGCCGGGTAAGAGCCTGGCTCATCTGTCCGAGCTGTGGTCAACGTGTGAAGGACGCGAGCTGCCTCCTCACGACATCCTGTGCATCGGCTGAGCTGAGCTTCCACGTCCTGCTCAACAGGATCCACGCCATGTTGCCCACGTCCATCAGCTGGGTGTGTCTCGGTGAGTCCTGATGGCGGGAACCCTGGGGTGGCGGTCCCGCCCTGGAAGCTGGGGCTCCCCAGCAGGTGGCCCTGCTTCAGTGATGTGGAGTGGATGCTGAGCACCGACTCCTCCCTCGGCTCAGCCCAGACCTGGCTGCCGAGGCTCACAGGCCAGCCAGGGCCCGGGGGGGGAGGCCGGGGGCTGCGGAGAT